ATACAGAGAAAATGTGCAAGAACAGTTCTTCTGTTTTTCTGTCAATGTTTGAAAATTTGATGGAAGTTCAGATCAGGCAGATTATTACATTTAACCATAATTATGGCTTTATTGGACAAATATATGACAAGGTGAATAAAAGGCAAAAAGTGGAATATTTATTTAAGACGTGAATATATCGATGAACTATGGATTCTAGACTGGGTAAGTAGCGTGGAGTCAGAGTTGATAGAGTGAAAATATTAAAGAACATGAGCTGAAAGGATAAGAAGTGTTGGTCAGGAATGGGAGGCTTGAAAGCTGGATTTTGGTGATGTTGCATTTGTTGGTGATGCTAAGAGTTGGAGTAGCAGTGGTTGGGTGGAAGAAAAATATCATTGGAGGTAAGGAAGTCAATGTACTTAGAAGCCAAGAAGTTGGTAGAGTGGTTCGCATGGATGTTGAAGTTTACAAAAGGCTGACAGAAATAGGAATGAAAAAGAGAGTGAAACAGGTGCTGAAGTTTTCAATAAATGAAAGATGACTAAGAGGTCAGTAAATTATATCAACGATGAAGATATTGTAGTATTGTCTAGCAGCACCCATAAATTCGGACTCAGTTGAACTGGGGTGAGACCTAGCCATCAAACTTTTTTTTTGCCATCAAACTTTTTAAAAGCCTCTCAGAGGATTCTGTTGTGAACCAGGATTAAAAATCACTGTGCAAACTGGAAGGTGTGGGGCCATTGGAGAGTAAATGTCTTCTGTAGTTCCTGGGGAGAGTGGAGGCCAACAGCAGACAGGATATACTGTCTTATAAAATTTAGTAAATACAGAGAAGTTATGTAACTTGCCCAAAGACAGAGTTCAGAAGTTTTTGGGCTGGGATTCAAACCTTGGTCTGTGTGACTCCAAAGCCTTACTGTCTTCCCTTTACTATGTTATCTAGGGGAAATGTTTTAGCTTAGAAGATACAGAGAGATATTTTGGAAATAAATGTAAAGTTCCCAAATGAGATTCTAGTAGGCCTCAGTGGGAGGCAACATGTTTCTGGAATGATTCCAATATTTACCTCTCTACCTACCCCCTCTTTATTCCCCTTGATCTTTCTACCTTTGTTTGTTTCCTTTCTGTAGTTGCCACCACCTCCTCAGGAAGGAGAGGAACTACATGAAAAGGAGCCAACATTGAGAGCTGCCCCATGGATGCCAGTTGACCTCAATATCCCTCTCCCCCAAGTACTGTTCTCTGGGGGCTCCTTTCTGTAGAGGGAGGAGGAGCAGGACACAGTGCTGCAGTCAAAACCAAGCATTTTTGTCTCCTCCTACTTCCTCCTGACATATCAGCAGTTCTGTATAATGAAAATCTAAATCATTTGTGTGCACACATAGCAACTGTTTATTTGATGTTAGCTTTGAGGACTCAGTGGGGGTTCAATGTGTTTAGAAAAGAGATCAACTCTGGGAGAGCCTAATCTCATAAGTAGACAAAATGAAAATTAAATCTGAAAATGCATCTCTCTACATCTGAAAGAGAAGCCAGTAATAAATATTCTTCAACATCAGCACCAATCTAGCTTTAAAAAAAAAATGCTTTCAAACCAAGGACACAGGGCAGAGATGACTTTTTGGAAGTGTCCTGCCTCCTGTCTGTTAAGAAAGCTTTACTAGGCCTGGTTGGAGATTGATTGTGAGTTCTAGAAATAGCACACCTTTCCCCTCAAGCCACCAAGTGGGATGCCTTCCATCTTTTACAAATGCGTTCACTACTGTGTTTTTTTGAAACTCCCTTTTTTTCCCACTGACAGTCTGCCTTGGGACTTAATACAGTCCTAAAGCTTCTCCACATTAGAATTTCTACCAGGAGTGAATGCCATACTGAAGAAAGTATCCTTATCACATTCTGAAGGGGCAGGCCTTTCCCTTTTAGGGTAATTTGTTGGACAGTGTATAAAGCCTCTGCTTGCCAGCAGCTTCCTCATCCTCTTACCCTTCCAGGGTTCCCCTCCTCCAGAAACCTCCTATTGCCACCTATTCTTGCAGAAGCCAGAACTCCTTTACCCAGAGGCCAGAGCCTGTCCTGTCTGTCTTGGTTCACAGCTCATGCTCTTGCAAGGTGAGAACCCACTGCCGGGAAGACACCAGAAGCTATAAATGAATGGAGGTGCTTACTCCCCATGGGAGCAGGGATGATGAGTGATATTAAGGAGAGGGCACCACTCAAGACAGACCTGAGTGACTTAACACTTGCAATATACCAAGGGCCACACCAGGTGTAGAAATTGTAACCCTGCAGACACAGACACATGCCAGTCAGGCAGTTGCTGCCCATCTACCATTTCTGCTAAACGGACTCTTAATGAATAGTCAGTTGTTTGTGAGCTAGCCCGGGTGAAAAACCTCCCACCTCTCTCAGCCTCCCCCCCCCCCACACACACACATAAGATCTAAGTGGTTCCAAAAATCAGGAAGGACCCATGGTTAAGCATTCCATTTGTGTACATGCAGGGAGCATGACAACCAGCCAGGCATAGGACAAACCAGTCTCTGAGGTCCTCACTTCATTTGTTCAGCCCTCCACCTGACCTATGGGCTCTCCTTCCTCTGCTCAACAGAAGCCAGACCAGGTAAGCTTAGCTTTCAAGAGCCTGCTCCAGACCATAGGGAAAAAACAGGCTAATCAAACATCTATGCAAAATACAAGGCCTGGCAAGAAAATATCAGACGCAGGCAGGAAGGAATTTAAATTCAAACTGAACAAGGGACAGGATCCCTCTTTGAATGTAAGGCCCTGCAGGCCCAGTTTCTTGACAGAAAAAAAATATCTTTTTAAATTCTATCCTCTTTTCGTGGAAAAGGAGAGGAAACATTCCAACTGACTAGGACCTTATACAAAGTGACAGTCATTTAAAATGGCTCTTTTTTTGCCGAAACTGGTTTGGCCCAGTGGATAGAGCGTCGGCCTGCGGACTGAAAGGTCCCAGGTTCGATTCCGGTCAAGGGCATGTACCTGGGTTGCGGGCACATCCCCCGTAGGAGATGTGCAGGAGGCAGCTGATCGATGTTTCTCTCTCATCGATGTTTCTAACTCTCTATCTCTCTCCCTTCCTCTCTGTAAAAAATCAATAAAATATATTTAAAAAATAAATAAATAAAATGGCTCTTTTTAAATTAACCCTTTCTTGAACAGTCACTTCTCTAGGGTGCAACGACTTCACCGGTGTTTAGGTATCTGGGCTAAGGAGAGCAGCAAAGCATTGACTTCTTGGGAAGCAATGGGTTAGGGATTGGTAGCATCAGGAGCTAAGAACACTCACTGAGCTGCTATTTTCCATTTGCCCCTCATGACCCCAAGGTCCTTTCTCTGCCTTTCTCCGCCATGCTTTGTGCCAAAGGAACCTGACCTCAATGGACTGTAACAACAGGGTTTCTTGTACCCCAACACTCTGGAGTAATTAAAAATAAAAACAGAAGAGCTGGCCTTTTGAGTCATAGGCCCTGCCTAATCCCTAAAGCTGTAGTTATGGAACAGTAGAGCTGGCCTGAATTAGTTGGGTGTGGGGGAGAGACAAATTCTGTCCCTGAGCGACAAGTTCTTCTATACCATCCATCAGCCTTGAGCACATTTGGGATGGTGGCCAGGCCTAAAAATACATCAGCCCTTGGTGACATCAAGGCTGTATTCTTTTATGTCTAGCTCACACCAGATGGAGGGGAAAGCATTTGATGAGCAATTTTTGAAATAGGCAGAGAAACTTATATCATGGTAGGAATGACTACAGGGGCAAAAGGCCACTGTGGATTTCCTACTCAGTAAAAATGAACTCTGATAGAAATTTCAGTAAGGAGTCAGCAGAAACATTCTTGTCATCATCATCATAAAACCATGTTTATTTAGTGCACAACAAATGCTATTATATGCTCAGAACATTTAATGAACACCATTTCTGAATATATAAAGGACTAGAGAATACTTGCCACTATATTTTAATGCCAGTCACCAAGCCAAAACACAAAATGAACTCTTATGAATATTCTAAAGCATAATGAGGAAGGGGTCTTAGACTAAATAAGTATCCTTGGTTAATATTTTCCTTATTGATAATTACCCTCACCACAAGCTTTCCCACAAAAGAAAAGGAAAAGAGGCCAGATAAAAGAGGAAGAGTCAAGGTATAGTCCTGAGAAAGTCTCAAGTATTTGATCAATGGCATGTTATAGATAGTAATCAATACTAGGGGGAGGGCCATAAGAATGGAATGGCAGGAACCAGCCCTGTTCATCTCCTTGTCCCTCCCTGCTCGAGTGTTCTTACCTAGCTTTGTGCAGTTACATTTCAAGTGAGGATCTTCTCCTTATTTTTCATAAAGGAGTACTTTGGGACTTGGGGGCTAGTGGGTACTCACCAGCTAGGTAAACATTTGAGAAAATCATATATCTTGATGAATTTTGTAAGTAGTCACTGACCCACTGGCTTAAGGGAAAGTGAAAATGAATGACTGGTGAGTTAAAAAGCATGCAACTCTAGGCTACACTGCTGACAGGTGGGTGGCAACTGGGTCTAGTCTTAGTACCTCTTTTCAAGGCTCCCTTCCTTCCTTCCTCTTTCCCACCCTTTCCAATCTTCCACCAAAGCTCAAGGCTTGAGGCAGTAGTCAAGCTCCATGGCATAAGAATTGGTGTTCCTCATGATGCTCTCCACCAACATTACAGGTTTGGGGTTTCTTCCAGCAAAGCAAGAGAGCCAGGTACAGATCAACATGGCTGCAGCTGCTCCACCTCCAGCACAGTAATAGGCCCAACCAAGCCTACAGGTACCTGTAGAAACAGGGACAGAGACATGAGGATTAGTGTAAGAGTAGGAAGCAGTGAATGCAACTGGGATTCCTGTGTCCTCTTTTCTTCATTTGCCAGTGGCTGATAGTTGCTTTAGCAAGAGGTTATAATGTTATTCTGTTACAGTAGGAATCTGGGAGTGATGTGGATGGTGATAGTGGTGGTGACACTAATGACAATGATAATAAGACAATGATAAATTGTCAAGAACTAGGCTAAGATTCTCAGACATATTAGTGCATCTCCTTGATCATTACAATAACTGTATGAGACAGATACTTTTATTATCCTTTTTTTATACAACGTGAAACAATCAAGGCATAGGTTAATAGTGAAAAACAACAAAGCTCGAAAGTCATAGAGTCAAAAATATAAACCCTGGCTCATCTTGATTCTAACACCACACTTTTTACCACATTGGTATACTATAGTGCATGGACTGTTTTCAAAGAAAAATATCCTGCATCATCAGGAGATTTGACAGGTAAAATCATATATCTTGCCACTTACTCTATGTCTCTCTCCCAACCTAGCTTTTCAACATCCAGGGAAGAAATATACATTGGAATCAAGGCCAAGCTACTAAGCAGGTAGTTTCAGTTTGAAGGGAAATGGGAAAGGTCATCTGCTCAAAAAATCTACCCTACCACCTGACACTCTATCAGAGGTATATTCTTTCATTTGAAGTATTTGTGTGTGTGTGTTTTTCAGAGAATTTTCTTCAGAGAATTATCCCTCAGAAAATGACGATGCCCAAAGATAGGAGAGCTATTATTTTACCAGGGATCAAAATAACAGCTAAATGTAAAAAATCAAATGCTTAAGCAAACAGAACTCCAGAAATTGGGATAGATGCCTCGTGTTAGAAAATTGCAGAGGAGTCCTGAGAAAAGAGGTAAGCAGCAACCTTCACCTGCCTCACAGTCTTGGAAAAACCCCAGTACCGACTACAGTCAGTTGGGAATGTCAAGACTGATTTTTGTAACAATTTACCTATTATTTTTATTTTTTTTCAAGTTGTTTAATTGTGTTTATTTGTTGTGACGATGAATGAGTAGTGAACCTTTGTTTTCTTTTATTGGTGACCACTAAAGAGGTCATGTTTTAAGGCATGAGAAAAAGTACCCCTCTTACTGATTCAGTTTCTGAGAGGAGGCTGTTTCTTAGGATCATATGGGAACTGGGGAGGGAATATAGCAGCAATGAAAAGGAATAAAATATAGATTGAAAAATAAGACCTCTGAGAAAAAGTTAGAAAAAAATAAGATCATTTAATTCTGGAAAGGAGAAAGCTGTTGAGATAGTTTAATAAATCATAAGTTATTGAGTCTTTTATTGAACAACTTAAATTAAGAAGGAATATAACAAACTGTTCTCCATCTCCAAGAAGGATAAAATAAGAAGGAATAAGGGTCTTTAAGAAAAAAGAAAAAAAAGACACCATGAATAGTTTAAGGTTTAAAAACTTGGGTAGGAATCATTATGAAGCCTTCAATTTGATTTTGATTTATTAAGAGAATAAAAATTTAAATATTATAGGATATGCTAAATTCCTTTTACAGGTTCTTTCTAAACCTTTTTTTAACTCAGGTTGGAACAAAGATATCATAAAGAGCACTGAAAGTAACATTTGAATTTCACTCATATCTATAAGAATTTAGCTTATAAGGTGAATTTCTTGAGCAGTAGATGCATGAGTGCAGTGAGTAAGACCTACTTAGATGTTATTTTTTATCTTAGATTATTTTATTTTATTTATTTATTTTTATTGTCATAATTTTATATATGTCTCCTTTTTATCCAATTGACCCTCCACAGCCATTCCCACCCCAGGCAAGCCCCCACCGACCCAGTGTCTGTGTACATTGGTTATGCTAATATGCATGCAAACAAGTCCTTTGGTTGATCTCTAACACGCCCCCCCCCTCCCCTGCCATTTGTCTCTGGATCAATTCTTGTTCATCAAATTATGTTGATCATTATATTCCACATGTGAGTGAGATCATGTGATATTTATCTTTCTCTGACTGGCTTATTTCGCTTAGCATAATGCTCTCCAGTTCCATCCATGCTGTTGCAAATGGTAAAAGTTCCTTCTATTTTTATAGCGGCAGTAGAGGTCCAGTGCATGAAATTCGTGCACTGGAGGGGGGGGTCCCCTCAGCCCGGCCTGTGCTCTCTTACAGTTCGGGAACCCCACAATTGATTGCCCTAAAGAGGTAGGCCCTACCCACCCAGCTGGGGCTCTGTAATTGATTGCCCCCACAAGGGGAGGCCCCGCCCACCTGCCACAGCCCGCTGGTTGGTGGCCTGGGCCTCCCTCTTTGGGGCGATCATGGAGTCCCCTGATTGATTGCCCCACTGGCCAGTCGCCTGGGCCTGCCTCTGCAGGGCAATCATGGGGAAATGGCCAGGCCCCCGACCAATCGCATTGCACCCACCTTGGCTGGCCAGGCACCAGTGGGTGTCATAGCGTGGTCATCTGGAAGGTTGTACAGACGGTCATTCTTCTGTTAGGTCCTTTGGCCAATTTGTACATTACAGTTTTATTATTATAGATAGTATTTCATCATATAGATGTACCACAGTTTTTTAATCCACTCATCTGCTGATGGGCACTTAGGCTGTTTCCAAATCTAGCTATGGTAAATTGTGCTGCTATGAACACAGGGGTGCATATATCCTTTCTGATTGGTGTTTCTGGTTTCTTGGAATATAGTCCTAGAAGTGGGATTACTGGGTCAAATGGGAGTTCCATTTTTAATTTTTTGAGGAAACTCATACTTTTTTCCACAGTGGCTGCACCAGTCTGCATTCCCACCAGCAGTGCATAAAGGTTCCCTTTTCTCCACATCCTTGCCAGCACTTGTCATTTGTTGATTTGTTGATGATAGCCATTCTGACAGGTGTAAGGTGGAATCTCATTGTTGTTTTGATTTGCATCTCTCAGATGATTAGTGACTTTGAGCATGTTTTCATATGTCTCTGGGCTTTCTGTATGTCCTCTCTCAAAAAGTGTCTCTTTAAATCTTTTGCCCATTTTTTGATTGGATTGTTTATCTTCATTTTGTTAAGTTGTATGAGCTCTCTGTAAATTTTGGAGATTAAACCCTTATCAGAAATATCATTGGCAAATATGTTCTCCCATGCAGTGGGCTTTCTTGTTGTTTTGTTGATGGTTTCTTTTGCTGTGCAGAAGCTTTT